TTTTTTTTGTGAATAACTTCGTGTCACATATTGACCAATCAGAATTAAGGATTAGCGGTCAGGCAGTTTCGAGATATTTCGATATAAAACAACTTCACGTTTCTTTCATCTTTAGTAAAATAGGATTATTTTTTCGATGTATTACGACGCAGGTGGGATTCGCATTTCCTGTGTCTCATTTGTATGAAATTCTCCGGTCATGTAGAATATATAAATGAATATGAATTTCGTGCATTTCACGAGTGGAAAATATTCTTGATATTTTCGTGGAGGCATTTTATCCCGTTTTAGGACTTTCCATCGATGCTTGGGAATCTGAAGGAACATCCTGTTAAATGGTGAATTATCTACGTAATGAGGGGTTCTAGAGAAATGTGTCAAAAAACATTTTTTGTTGGAAATTTCATTTTCTAGAAATCTTTCCCGGTACATTTTCTCCCAGATTCATTTGTTCTTGGGATAAATAGATTATTAATAAACAATGTCAAAAGGTGAAAATTTATCAAGTCAAGTTTTTTCAGCCTACGAAATATGGAATTATCTTCTTAATGAGTGGTTTTAGAGAAAAATTTCACAAGACATTTTTGTTGGAAATTTAATCTTCTACAAATCTTTTTCGGAACATTTTCTGCTAAATTCATTTGCTTTCGAGATAAATACACTATTAATCAAAAATGTCAAAAGTTGAAAATTCATGAATTTGAATTTTTTCATTTTACGAAACATGGAATTATCTCATTAACGAATGATTTTAGAAAAAAAAAACTTCGCGAGACATTTTTGTTGGAAATTTAATCTTCTACAAATCTTTTTCGGAACATTTTCTGCTAAATTCATTTGCTTTCGAGATAAATACACTGTTAATCAAAAATGTAAAAAGTTGAAAATTCATGAATTTGAATTTTTTCATCTTACGAAATATGAAATTATCTCGTTAATGAATGGTTTTAGAAAAAAACTTCACAAGACATTTTTGTTGGAAATTCAATTCCCTACAAATCTCTCCCGAAACATTTTTTGCTAAATGAATTTATTTCCGAGATAAATCCACTACTAATAAAGAATGCCAAAACATAAAAAAATCAACAAGTGAAGTCAAGTACTTTCATCTTACAAAATATGTAATTATCTTCTTAACCAGTAGTTTAAGAAAAAAACGTGCCAATAAATTTTTACTAAAAATACAATTCTCTGCAAATGTTTCCCGCCCCATTGACCCCCCAGCCCCCTCACTCCGGAGATAATCCGCCGCCCCAAGTGAACTATTTTCCAAAAACGAAACAAATCCTATTCTAAAAAGAACATGCACTCAAAGTCGATAACTATCGATATCTCGCAAGTCTGTCACGCTTATTCCTCATTGGTTCCAGTCGTCTGGGGCGGCAAATTTAATTCATGATTAATTTAATTTTGAGATTTTCAATTATGATTGTTACAATTACAGCGCGCTGCAGGGCGCGTTCTGTCTTAAGAGTGCCAAGTGAATTTGAAAAAAGATTCAAAAAAAATTTTTTCTTTCCCTCCATCATTGGAGAAATATGTATTCATCCATCCGACGAAATTTCAAACCCGCAACCGGAACTAGACATCGAGAAAATAAATGCGGAAAATCCTCTATTTCGCGTGACGAACCTCGAGAAAGCATGGGATCAAATGGGTACGGCGGGTTGAAATATCTCTCTTATTCACCCCGGTACCCCATTGTTTTTTGTCGCCATCACATTGAACACATCATTCCCCATATCTTCAAATTTTTTCAAATTTTTCTTGAGTTCCTAGGGGGTTGAAACGTTCAATTTAATCAAAACTCCATAAGAGGCCGTGTATAAGACTGATTTTGTTTATTTAATTTCTCGATATCCATAAGTTCTAAAATTTTAAAATTGTCACCGATGTTCACCATCTGTCTAATACTATTAATTAAAAAAATTATAACTTTGTTGGTGAATGTCAATTTTCAAGGTCATCGCCAAATTCACTTGGCACCCTTAATTCAAAAAATCACTGACCTTTATTCTGCGGAGGTGTTCTACGCATTTCACAGAGGTCTCCACTGTCCTCAGCGTCCTGTTTGGTTCCGGCCGACGTATTTCCGGTCGGCCGTTGGTGCTGATAAACTTTGCTTTGTTGGTAATTCTGGCTATCGTGTTGGTCCTGTCGTACGATGGGAGGCGCACCGGTGCCGGTCTCGGATGACGGCGAGCGTGGACTGTCAGGAGAGGATGTCTCCTCCGACGGATTCGCCCCTGTCGCTTCTACATTCGTATGCAACAGAAACCGGAGATCCAGCAAAAATCCCATTTAAAAAAATTCATCAATTCAAAATTTCATCTCCTTACCCTTATCACTTATAACTCCACAATCTTTCCTGTACGATTAGCCACCATTTTTCCCGGATAATCTCCGAACTATTCCTATTTACCCCGAATGCCAGTGGTGAATGCAAAAAAAAACTCGCGAATTCGCGAAAATTAGGATCGGCAGTGATTTTGCATGTTAAAAAAAGCAAAGTCGAAGTACAAAAGGTGTTTTTCCCATCGGCATTAAAAAATCTTCAGTGATTTTTGTCTGCTATTCGGGAATGCATGGACCACTGTTCGATGAATTGACAGGAGATATCGCGTCGCGTAAAAAATGAAAAAATACAAGTCTTTGTTTGACAAGTAGATTAAAAGGCCCGACCCCCGAAACTGTCGCGGCGAGGGTTGAGGGTAGCTCAGAGCGACATCTGGCGGGCGCCCTAGGGTCTTTAAACCTTTTTAGTTTGTTTTTTTTTTATTTAAAAAATCCAGGAGCGACGTGGAGCCGTGCACAGTCGCCCGAGTACTGGTGGCCATGTTGCGGACTCCACTGACTGATGTTTCAACCCCCGCCTTGCCTCCCGTCGTGCCCCATTGAATTTCAGCCAATTGTGCCTTTCCAAAGGCTCCCTACCCCGATGTCATCCCCGTATTGATGTATTCGCGTCAAAATTCTGGTGTTTTTTCATTACGAAAATTGGATCCTCGGAATTTTTCGATTGGTCGGGGAATATTGTGATGCTGGATTTAGTTTCAAGTTGGAGAGGAGGGCGAGGGGAAACGCACCCCTAGAATTTTCGATACATCGCGATTAAGGTGAAACGGAACCCCTGTGTCTATATGAATTTTTAGAATTGTTTTTTCCTGCAATTATTATTTTTTATTTGTGAAACTACTTCATTGACCCAACAATGCAATGGTCGAGTCGATAAAGTGATTTCATAGATACAAAGGAATAATTGGAGGAGAAAACACAATTCTAAAAATTCAAATAAACACAGGGGTTCCGTTTCCCCTTAAATGAAACACTGGATCAGTTCAAATTGGTTTTGAATTTCGAGAAAATGTCGTGAGAATGGAAAAAATATTGGGCAATTGGAAAATTGTATATTACGAACTCTTGGTTGTGACTATTTAATTAATGAGATTCTAGAAGAATAAGTGAAAAATCTGATTTATAGCGTATTGATGTATTCGCATCAAAATTCTGGTGTTTTTTCATTACGAAAATTGGATCCTCGGAATTTTTCGATTGGTCGGGGAATATTTTGATTGATGTTGGATTTAGTTTCAAGTTGGAGAGGAGGGCGAGGGGAAACGCACCCCTAGAATTTTCGATACATCGCGATTAAGGTGAAACGGAACCCCTGTGTCTATATGAACTTTTAGAATTGTTTTTTCCTGCAATTATTATTTTTTATTTGTGAAACTACTTCATTGACCCAACAATGCAATGTTCGAGTCGATAAAGTGATTTCATAGATACAAAGGAATAATTGGAGGAGAAAACACAATTCTAAAAATTCAAATAAACACAGGGGTTCCGTTTCCCCTTAAATGAAACACTGGATCAGTTCAAATTGGTTTTGAATTTCGAGAAAATGTCGTGAGAATGGAAAAAATATTGGGCAATTGGAAAATTGTGTGTTACAAACTCTTGGTTGTGACTATTTAATTAATGAGATTCTAGAAGAATAAGTGAAAAATCTGATTTATAGCGTATTGATGTATTCGCGTTAAAATTCTGGTGTTTTTTCATTACGAAAATTGGATCCTCGGAATTTTTCGATTGGTCGGGGAATATTTTGATGATGCTGGATTTAGTTCCAAGTTGGAGACGAGGGCGAGGGGAAACGCACCCCTAGAATTTTCGATACATCGCGATTAAGGTGAAACGGAACCCCTGTGTCTATATGAACTTTTAGAATTGTGTTTTTTCCTGCAATTATTTTTTATTTGTGAAACTACTTCATTGACCCAACAGTGCAATGTTCGAGTCGATAAAGTGATTTCATAGATACAAAGGAATAATTGGAGGAGAAAACACAATTCTAAAAATTCAAATAAACACAGGGGTTCTGTTTCCCCTTAAATGAAACACTGGATCAGTTCAAATTGGTTTTGAATTTCGAGAAAATGTCGTGAGAATGAAAAAAAATTGGGCAATTGGAAAATTGTATATTACGAACTTTTGGTATTTACTATTTAATTAATGAGTGAAAAATCAGATTGATAGCGTATTGATGTATTCGTGTCAACATTCTGGTGTTTTTTCATTATAAAAAATGGATCTTGGAAATTCATTTTGAAGTTCGCGAAAATGTCTCGAGAATGAAAAAAAACAAATTGGGCGATTGGGAAATTGTATATTACCAACTTACACAAATTACGAACTCGTGTTTATTCCTATTCAATTAATGAGATTCTAGTGGAATTGTTGAAAAGTCTTATTTATAGATTTCTTTTTACGTGTTCTGTGACGATTCGAAGAAATAGTTTTGAAGAGGATAGACTCGTGAGTGGGAGCTCAAGTGGCCCCGGTCAATGCTCCCGAAAAAGTACGAGGGGATGGAAATTGGTAATTGAACGCACCCCACGGAAATATCGGGATTCACATGTTGCACGAGTGGAAAATTTGGCGCAAACGATCTGTGTATGAAATGAAATGTTTATTGACTTTTTCATTTAGCGTAATGTAAAGAACCAGCAAATCTATGCATTTGCCTCAAGAACAAACGAACCTGGGAGAAAATGTTCCCGGAAAGATTCGGAGAAAATGAAATTTCCAACAAAGAATGTCTTTTGACACATTTCTCTAGAACCCCTCATTAAGAAGGTAATTCCATATTTCGTAGGATGAAAAAACTTGACGAATTCTCAACTTTCGACATTGTTTATTAATAGTTTATTTATCTCGAGAACAAACGAATCTGGAAGAAAATGTACGGGGAACGATTTCTAGAAAATGAAATTTCCAACAAAGAATGTCTTTTGACACATTTCTCTAGAACCCCTCATTAAGAAGGTAATTCCGTATTTCGTAGGATGAAAAAACTTGACTTGACGAATTCTCAACTTTCGACATTGTTTATTAATAGTCTATTTATCTCGAGAACAAACGAATCTGGAAGAAAATGTACGGGGAATGATTTCTAGAAAATGAAATTTCCAACAAAAAATGTCTTTTGACACATTTATCTAGAACCACTCATTAAGAAGGTAATTCCGTATTTCGTAGGATGAAAAAACTCGACTTGACGAATTCTCAACTTTCGACATTGTTTATTAATAGTCTATTTATCTCGAGAACAAATGAATCTGGAAGAAAATGTACGGGGAACGATTTCTAGAAAATGAAATTTCCAACAAAAAATGTCTTTTGACACATTTCTCTAGAACCACTCATTAAGAAGGTAATTCCATATTTCGTAGGATGAAAAAACTTGACTTGACGAATTCTCAACTTTCGGCATTGTTTATTAATAGTCTATTTATCTCAAGAACAAATGAATCTGGAAGAAAATGTACGGGGAACGATTTCTAGAAAATGAAATTTCCAACAAAAAATGTCTTTTGACACATTTATCTAGAACCACTCATTAAGAAGGTAATTCCATATTTCGTAGGATGAAAAAACTTGACTTGACGAATTCTCAACTTTCGACATTGTTTATTAATAGTTTATTTATCTCGAGAACAAACGATTCTGGAAGAAAATGTACGGGGAACGATTTCTAGAAAATGAAATTTCCAACAAAAAATGTCTCTTGACACATTTCTTTCGAACCCCTCATTACGTAGATAATTCAACATTTATCAGGATGTTCCCTCAGCTTCCCAAGCATTGCTGGAAATTCCTAAACCGGGATAAAATTCCTCCACGAAAATATCAAGAATATTTTCCACCCGTGAAATGCACAAAATTATATTCATTTATATATTCTGCATGACCGGAGAATTTCATACAACTGAGACACACATGAAATGCGAATTCCACGTGCGTCGTAATACATCGAAAAAATAATAACAAAGAGAATGCACCTCGGAGGGGGCGAACCTGGTACACTACGACTTTATAAAAATGACACTGGCATTAAAGGAGGACGCACCATCCACATATTCCGGATGTGTCCCCGCGTGGAAATCTCATTTCCAATTTTTCCGTGGGGGAAATAGGAAAATTCTCCAGTCTGTCCTCTTCCCCAATCCCCCCAGTATTCCCGAACCGACGAATACGATGATTTCCGCGAAATTACATTCACCAGATCGAAGTTTATTATCGGAGCCAACTACGTGCCCGGGTTGAGTATTGATCTACCGGGAGAAAAGTTGTCTTCCCCCGCCCCTCCACGGCAAATTCACGTGCACCTGTCTCTAAGGTCTCTAAATATTCCGAAGTGTTTCGAAACCATTTTTTCGCTGTCTCATAGCGTGAGTCACGACACGTAACGTGAAAAACGATCGCTAATTTCCATGCGATAGAAGTGGAGAAAAATAACATGAAAAATTACGGATATCCAAGTACTTTGGCTATTTTGTCATCAGTGAAGTCCTTTCATTTGAGCCCCATTTGTTAGAAAATATTAGAAAAACATACACTGAGAGAAAAACGACAAAGTTCTCAAACAAGTCTTACTTGCGCCAAGAAAACAGTTTTTTGAAAATTATCGAAAAACGATTTTTTGTGCCAAACATGCAGAGAGTGCGCCAAAATGAAGATTTTTGTCGCAAAAATAGATTTAGTTGCTGAAAAAAAATTGCATTCTCTGTGCAGGCAAGAAATGTCATTTCTAGCACTAGTCCTTCGTTATTCGATACTCCTATACGTATTTGCTCCCTAAAAATCTTTGTTTTATGCGCAGTTTTATGTTTTATGCACAGACAACAAATGAACCCTTAAATGAAACAATAATAATGATATGATAGCAATCTTGTCATTTAGGGATAAAATATTAGTTGATAAATTTTCCTCTATATGAGATATTTTCATCCTGAAAAGGCACCGTCTGTTGTGAATTATCCGCCTCTTGAGCCAAATATTTCGTTGCTGGCGAAAGCAGAGCAATTACTCATGTTTGAGACTTTCAAATTCAAACCAAATAAATTCTTTTTTGGCAATTTTCAACTAGCGATTTTGTTGGCCCAAACAAGACTTGTTTCACGTACTTGTTTTTCTCTCAATGTAGAAACCATGTGTTAGAAAACATTTAACAAATCTGATAAAAAAATTAGAAAGTCTACTTTTGGAGGAAGATCGATGAAATAATACAAAAATTGCAATTTTTGACAATTACGAGCATTTTCTATGAATAATTTATAACCAATCAATTTCCCATCATAAAAATCATTTGTCCGGAATTGTAAAAAATTCATTCATATTCAGAATTTTGAACAATTTGAATTATTTCAAATAAAGAATGACATATACTTTATTGATAAATAAAGAATGTTATTTATGAATAAATGTGGGCTGTACCAAACTGTAAAAGATACTTGGATACCCTCAAGTTGAGGTGGAATTATTGCTCACCATGAGACTCTTTACCGATTTCATATCCACTGAAGATCATCGAGCGTCGAGGGTAGTCCTCCTTACGATAAGTCGGTGATTCGTCATTTTTCGTGGACCATCGACTCTTCGAGCCCCGATGATGAGTTAAGGATGACGATCGAGGGGTGGATTGATTTGGGAGAGTTTCTGGACGAGTTACACCTGCTTGGATAGGAGTCAATAGACATTTTGTTTGCATTATTGTTATTTTTTTGCCCTTTTGAAAATCTTCGATTGAAATTCCCGAGAGACTTCTTGGAAATTTCTATCAGATTATAGTTCCACTGGAATTTCAAGGAATTTCGTCCCACTTATTGATTTTTCGTCACGAAAAATAAAAATTTTATGAAAAACCAACGAAAACTGATAATTTTAATTTAGGTGGGGTAAAATGGACACTTTAGACTTCTGTTTTAATTACTCATAACTCAGAAACAAATTTATCGGTTGAACTCAGTTTAGGCTCATCACAAAGGGAAAGACTTGTTCTTTGCCACAAAAAAAAATTATTAAATTTTATCAACATTTCAACGCGTCATTAACATAAAAAAAAAGTCAAAAGTGTCCATTTTACCCCAACCTCCCCTAGTTGTACCATGGAAATTAATAAAAATGAGGAAAATTCAGGTAAATATCGTCTCGGATGTAGAGTCAATTAGAATTTCATTGAATTTCCAATGAAATCTCAGTTTAAAGCCTAAAAAACACCTTCCAATTGAAAAAAAAATTGTTGAATTTCACTCTTGTCATCGAGTTATTGAAATAAATAAAAAAAAAATACAAAAATCCTCGGAACCACGGGGGAATCCATCCCCACGTTGGCAGGCCTGCCCTCCAATCATCCCCGACAGTAAAAAAATCATAATAAATTCAATAAAAACAGAAGCCCCTCATGAAATTGTTGTTCGACCCACAAGACCCGTCAACCCAAATTCAGTCCCAAAGCCCTCGAAGCCCGCAGAATCCCCCCCAGAAGAGCAACAATCCATCTCCAACGATGGGAGTTCAACTGCGTAAAATCCGAGTTCTCGCGTAATTTCCCGTTCCCTCGAGAAATGAAAAACCCCCGGAATCTGCTAAATTCTAGCGACAAGTTGTCATTGTTGTTACCTGAGGGTACAATTTCCTGCGATGTCATTTGCAGCAGAAGTGCAAGCTGTTGTCGCTCGGACATCCGCGCTGGGTAACCACGGAAACGACTGTTACCGCCTGCGGGCATTACGTCCACATAATTCAATTAAAATAAATCCACTAGTTAAAACCACGATTAATCGGCAAACTCAATCACATTATTCACGATAAAACGACGATTTGAGGTTAAAAAAATCCCGCACTGGTTGCACATAACCTCAAAAACATTTGGCGATGGCGAAATAATTTGGGCGGGAAGGGGCTCTCGGCGGAAGTCGCGGCGCAGGGGAGGGATTGGGCACTTGTTTTTTGTTCGTTTACTCGATGAACTCACGCCATTTTGACCTACCGAGCGCCCGCGAATGTGTCAACGGTTGGTCAGAAACTGCACGGCGAGTTGTCACTCCGGAGAAGACACTGTCTCGGCGAATCGCGATTTTAATCCGCTCATTGGGATTATTCGCGACTGCTCGGGGACTCGGGAGCCAGCGGTTTTTGTTTAAATCGGGCGTTCCGGCTTTTTGTTTTTCAATGAACACTGCGACACTCGTGCGATCAACACGGTGGTGCGCAATATGACGCAATATGGCGGAAAACGCGGGAGGTGCGTGCGGCGGGTGGAGGGGGGCAGTGGCGGCACTGGGGAGAGGCGGGAAAATTTGGTTGGGGCGATCTTTTTTTTGGAGGCCAGTCATGGCCACGTGCGCAGTGCTGGGTTTTTGGATCAGCAGGGCTTTTCATCCTGGGAGTTGGGAGATTTTCGGAAAAATTTTTTGACATCGTTTTGACGTGGACACGCATTTAATTTCGCGAGCTGACGAAATTCTAGATTTGTCGAAAAAAAATCGAGACATTCTCCGGTTTTCTGGTAAATTCAAAAAAATTCTTCGGCTTTCTAGAAACTTGGAAAAAATGCTCCGAATTTACGGAAAATTCTTCGGTTTTCATGAAAATTTGACAAAATTCTCAGATTTTCTAAAACTTCGATTTTTAATTTTAATTCAGTAGCGAAGTGGTAAAACGGTTTCAGTCAATTTTGACTATCGGCCAGTTTTCAGCGAATATCTAGGAATTTAATGGAGATAGCAAAATTTTTGTTATAAACTTTTTTGCAGAGCTAATTGGTAGCTACAACAAATGTAATTACGGAAATTTCGCTATCTCCCTTAGATTCGGGAATATTCCTCAAAAACTGAACTGGGAGATGAACCGTTTACCAGTTCGCTACTGAATTAAATTGCCACAAATTAAATTTAAAAAATAATTGACACAAATTGAATTTAAAAAATAATTGACACAAATTAAAGTTAAAAAATAATTGACACAAATTAAATTTAAAAAGTAATTTAATTTGCGTCAATCCCTACAATGAAAAAAAAATTTATGAACGGAATAAATATTTCCCCTAGATTTCCAAGATGAAAAGCTCAATTTTACGAGTCTGGGTAAAATAATAAAAAAATTGAACTTTATTTCTTCTGCGTGCGGACCTTATCAAGACTGAGGATTGAATGAAAGCTTGTTTCATTCCATTTTATCAAAATGGAATGAGAATCCAACACAAAAAACCTTAGCTAGAACAACTTGTGCTGAAATTCCATGAAATTACCCATAAAAAAATTTCAATTATTCATTCCTTCCATGTCAAAAATTCTAGACTTGGAGAATATGAAAAAAAAAATACCAAAAAAATAAGAGCGAAAGGGACTTATGAGGCATAGGTTAATCTAAACAAATAGAAATAAAACACAGTTCTGAGGAAAAAAAGTCCAGAAAAAAATAAAATCGTCTCCCCAAACGAATCCCATGACCCCAGGAAATGGCATAAAGTATTAGTTTTTTTCTCATTTTCCTTTAATAAAAGACAACGGGTTTACATGTTTATCCTCACGTATTAAACATAATATCGTAGTGATTAAATTCACTCTCAAATAGACGAAATAAATAAGACGCTTAATAAATTAAAAATTTAAAAATACAATCTCGGGCTCTACTCCATAACTTGTACGTTTGTTCACAATTTTTCACTAGTTTTCCGAATACAATAGGCCATTGTTAATACGTAACGTGAATTTTCGTTTTTGTTTTCATTACTTCGCACTTTCGTCACTTTTATTTTGGTTTATTTTTTTGTTAATTACATTACAATTAATTATGAATGATAAGAACACATTGTTTTTTCAATCATTGCACCTAACGCAGACGCTACCTAGATCAACATTATAGAAAATACACAATGATTTTAAATTTTATTATTTCCCTAATCGTTTGACTCAGTTACACGTCTTCACATTGTTCGTAATTTAATCATTTTTAATCTCATGTTTTAATTGACATTTCCAATACTAAAGATCACGGTGACATGAACCGATGAAAATTATCATCATTATGAACTCAAATAACGCAATTATGGTAATTAAAATGAAATGTCTTTATCGATTTGTTTCAATTGTTCGTCCCATGGGCAAAATAATCAGTCCTCACGCCCCTGCGAAGCAACATTTCCATCCGATTGATTCTCTCTCAAGAAACCCCAGAAAATAATTTTAAAAAATAGCAAAAACTCCTTCATTACCTCTCGTTAATCCCTAGAGCCGTTGCGTCCGAATTTTCAATTTTTCCACTCCATCATTTTATGACAGTAATTTACCTATGGACCAGCCAAGGTTAATGTTTCGAGTCTGCGACGCATTTGTACAGTGTATAGAGAGCCAGTTGGGCATAACATTACACAATGTCAACATTATTTTACTTCATCACACCGATTAATTAACGCTGTGAGGATCAGGGAAGGGGGGGGGGGAATAATTAATCATTAACGGCAACTCTCAGAATTACCATGAATTATTTTTGCTTTGAGCGTCCCAATAACCAAGCACAAATCCTACATTGAGTTGTTTTCGTTTTAATATTGTTGAATTATACTTTCACGCTCTGCTGCATTCAATAGGGAACTTGCATGAATTTTTTTCAATTTTCTAATCTCAAGTTTGGGACCGGAATAATTCATTTCTCATTCACAAACGTTCGGAATATCGCTCATTAATTAATAGTTGATTGTTGAAAGTTGGAGGTTTCAAACGCTTTGGGATTGGAGTGAGATGTTGAGTTGGAAGTTTATATTTCTTGACTGAAAAAAATCGCATTGGTTTACAATATCTGAATCACAGATTACGGAAATTCATGGAAAGCTCAATTTAAACATCGGCTTCATTCGAGAAAACAACATTCAGTAGCGAAGCGGTAAAACGGTTCACGTCAATCTTGACTATCGGCCAGTTTTCAATGAATATCTCGGAATCTAAGGCAGATAGCAAAATTTTTGTTTGAACCTTTTTTGCAGTACTCAATGCTTTCTCCAAAAAAGTTATAACAAAAATTTCGCTATCTCCCTTAGATTCGGAAATATTCCCCAAAAACTCGACTGGGAGATCAAAAATCATCTCCTAGGTACGAATTTTTCATCAATTCATGAAAGTAGAAAATTCTCGACTGGAGATTATATTGGAGTAAAGAATAATAAAACTTCTATTTTTGTGGTGAATACGTGTACTTGACGCCACGGACTGTTTTATTTTGTTCAAGTAAATGTATCTCAAGAAGAAATAATTGATATTCACCGTAAGATCTCATTTACTTGCAATTGGTTCAATTTATTGGTTTCAGTAAAAATCATTTTTTCTATCAGTGCATGTTATGAGGAATGTCTGCACCGGGGAATTCGAAAGAATTGAGCTATTCACGCAAGTTCCCTACAATTCAGTAGTGAAGTGGTAAAACGGTTCAAGTCAATCTCCCAGTTGAGTTTTTGAGGAATATTTCCGAATCTAAGGGAGATAGCGAAATTTTCGTAATTACATTTGTTATAGCACTCAATCGGCTCTACAGAAAAGGTTACAACAATAATTTTGCTATCTCCCTTAGATTCCGAGATATTCGCTGAAAACTGGTCAACAGTCAAAATTGACTTGTACCGTTTTACCACTTCGCTACTGAATTAAAACTTCAACTATTTCGGGTTTCTTGGGGGGAAGGGTGTAACACACACACACATACAATGATAATTAATTTTTCACCGTCATCAGATGGCTTACCTCGGTTTCATTTTATTTTTAATATTCACGTAATAGGAAACAGCTCGACAACGATGGTTTTTTCATTTAAAGTCTTCAAGAGGTCTGGACAATTCGAGTGCCCCCCCCCTCCCCCGAGAAATGGTTTATTTGAATCAAAGGGAATAAAGCTAGAGCTAGGAAAATCGTGAAAATGAAATTGCGACAATAAAAGACGTGAGGAGTTTTCGCTGGGGGAAGACAAAGAGCTGGAATGAATCGATACTGAACATTCTGAGGTAACGGATATAATGAGGCTCGATTTTCATCGAGGGTGATTACTTTTTGCTGATGCAAGTGATACATTCAAGAATATTTATTCCGTTTTTGTCATCAGATTTGACGGAACACTGACGTAATCCAAATGGAGCTGAAACTAGCGAAGGATTTGCCCGCGGAAAATTCGATTTAGGCGAGTCTGGGGGACTATAAGTATTTTCAAGTCGTGAGAAAACTCGTTTGCACTTGAAGAAAGTTTGGTCACATGATTGTTGACTCTTGCGCCCTCAAAAGTCCTCTCAATTGAATTTTTCTGTCGTTTCAGCTGCATTCAAATAAATATATTTTTTTAATATAAAAAAACGTTCATTTGATTCCAACAGAAGATTCATTTGAAATGAATGAATGATTTATTTGACTGTTGTTAAAGTAAATGAAAAATTTCAGGCGCAACTTGAGTTTCATTTGATTAAAATCCGTCATTTCTCGGAGGAGGACAAGACAATTTCTCGATTGTGCATTTTTTTTTATTGGAAAAGATTATTCTTTTAAAGTGCGATAAAAGGTAGAGTAGGTCCCTTCTATAAGTCATTTGTTTCACATATTTCCTTAGAGAAATTGGTGCACAGTGTGGTCTTTTCATTAAAGTTTTAATTAATCTAGTGAGACTCTCGCGACAGGTCAATCGGAGAATGTCAATGGTCTCATTATGTTCGACCCAACCTGTTGTATATCATTGCTCGATGATTATGTACACATATGGGAGATGATGATGACCTGCCGCTGAGCGAGGAAGGACGTACATCTAGTACTTTCTGATAAAACACGATGCTATGGTAAATCCGCATGGAAAATTCATATCCCTGAACATCTGCCAACTGCTATGCAGTTCCGTTTCGGTTTTGCTAAAGTCGAAGTTGTTGAGTGACATGTCAAGAACGTTGAGGCCATGTGTGAATGTAACCTGTGACAATTCTAATTTGGTTGGGACGAGGAAATCGAGTGAAACCCGCCTTTAGTTCTGGTTTTTTCCTTTTCGAACTCCGTTCCTGATTTTTTAATCTTTCCATATGGAAAAATCATTCAAGTTTAATTTGGGAAATGTCTCAAGAGGCCTCGGCATTAAGAAAACCACTAAAATGCTGGCAAAACTTTGTGCCATGAATTCTCAGCAAAAAGGGGATGGAAAAATCTGAAAAATGGCTTAAAAAATTTGTTCATTTTGTAGGAACTGGATGAAACGAGTTGCGTGTGATCTGAAAATGATAAGTAGCTTTGAGAAATGTTTAAAAATGCGAGGTGGGGCGCCGCCATGTGTAGCGCCATTTTCATCAGGGGGCGGTATCCCAAGATGGCGACGCTCACATGTCACCCACCTCGCATTTTTGAACCTTCCTTAAAATTATTTATCCCCTCCAAATCAGCTTCAACTCACTGCATCCAATTCCTACAGAATGAACAAATTATTCAAGCCATCCTTCAGATTTTTCATCATAGATTTTCATGAAAAATTGAAAAGTGAATGTAACCTGTGACAATTCAAATTTCGTTGGGACGAAGAAATTGAGTGAAAGCAGCCTTTAGTTGTTTTTTTTCCGAACTCCGTTCCTGATTTTTTAACCTTTCCATATGGAAAAATCATTCAAGAAAACCACTAAAATGCTGGCAAAACTTTGTGCCATGAATTCTCAGCAAAAAGGGAATGGAAAAATCTGAAAAATGGCTTAAAAAATTTGTTCATTTTGTAGGAACTGGATGAAACGAGTTGCGTGTGATCTAAAAATGATAAGTAGCTTCGAGAAATGTTTAAAAATGGGAGGTGGGGCGCCGCCATGTGTAAAGCCATTTTCATCAGGGGGCGGTATCCCAAGATGGCGAGGCTCACATCGGTCCCCCACCTCGCATTTTTGAACCTTCCTTAAAATTATTTATCCCCTCCACATCAGCTTCAACTCACTGCATCCAATTCCTACAGAATGAACAAATTATTCAAGCCATCCTTCAGATTTTTCCACCTCCCTTTGCCTGAGACCTCAAGCCCCCAAGATTTCTCCGCATTTCAGTAGTTTATTTACTCCCAAGGCCTCTTAATCATCAACTCGAGCAAAACTCTCGTCTTTTCTCATGCGGAAATGGAATTGAAATCCGAGTGAAGATGATTAGTTCTATTCTATTTCGACACAGATTATCCGTTTGCTACATCTGTAATATTTTTAACCCCTACAAGATGATCCTTTGTTCCTTAATTAGTATTAGCCACCGATAAACTATTACTTCGATCCCTTGAGATGACTAATGAAGTTCTCCCTTCAGCATTTATGACAGCGTAACATCAATCTCGAGAAATATTACGATTCAATAGAGACAAATCTACTTGAAGGATGACGCAAAGGTGTTCCCTCCCGTCATGATTGTTTATGCTAGCTTGAAAATCGAGCCAATACGTAATATCGTGGTCTCTTAAGTAGTCTGTGAGGATTCATAATCAGATACATTTGTGGGGGGGATGAGAGCACACGAGGTAAACGATCTTAATTCAATAGTCCATTAATGAGCGTATTTACGATTAATCATTACTCAATCCTTTCTTCAACTTTTGATTCATCAGTTTTTTTTTTCATATTGCTCATAATAATCCTGTTCATTTAACCAGTTATAAATAATTACGATTACATGAATACATCGCGCGATTTTAATTTATATTCTATGCTTTCTCTAGGTTCATATTACAGACTAACGTTCAATGACTAACTACTTGAACATTCTTTATGTGTTAATTATTTGTTCTTGTCCAGTTTACGATCAATCAACAGTTGTTGGGATTGACAGGTCACCAAATCACTGGATTATTCCCTTAATTATTGCGTAACAACAACGATGAGTATGAGATTATGGATGATGTGACGGGATTGCTAATGACTTCATTGAGTTGCCTTCAACATTTTTCTTTCGGTTATTGTTCCAGTTATTTTCTTGGTCTACACAAGGCTTGAATGTCTACCTTCAGCAGTTGAGATTACCAAATTTTTCATTCAACTGTGATCTCTGAGGAGTGGAGTGTAGATTGACGGGAAAAAAATTGTCGATGAGAAATTTGTTTTCTCACTTTTAAAATACTCTTTCCTCAGTGTAATTCCCCACTCCATTGTTCAATTCCACCTATTGTTTGTCCCATTAACGTGTTTTCAGATATGAGCAAATGTCATTTCAATTATTATTTTTTTTCTTGTAAATTCATTTTTATTTCAATCTACGCTCGTTAACATCTAGCTTCTACAGCCGCAATGTTTCTCTACCAGTCTTTTCTCATTCTCCGTACCTAGGCATCGTTTTTTTTAATTAATAAAATCGTCAATTATGAACCCTGTGTTGTATATATAATGCAAATCAACTGTACATCCGAAATCATTTGAATTTTTTCACTTAATTTCACTTGAGCCGCATTGATTTTGAGATATTATCGGTCATTTATTTATGGCACAAATTAATTTTGGCGCATGCACATCCTTCCTGTTATCAGGAAGACAATTGAGACGTATTTTATGCTTCTTTTTTACTGTTAGACGGCTCAAGGTCACGCTGACAAACATCTCTCGCGTATCCCCTCCCTCTCACCGCTAGGATTACACTCTCTGCACCAATGAAACTGGTGGAAGATCATCTCCATGTCCTTCATCTCTCTCTCTCTCTTTCTCTCTCTTCATCCAGACAAAAAGAACGAAAATAAAATCAACAGAAATGTGTCGCCATCACTCGTTGCTGATGATACTCGAAGATGTCCCAGGTGTTTTCATTTGCTGCTAGAGTCTCCACAGACTCGATCTTCTCGTTCCACCAATGCCTGCCATTAATACAGAATCCTTTTCGTCTCACCATTGCAAATCCTCATCAAGGGGTACATTGAGCAGGAAAAAGGGGGGGAGAAAAACATTGAATCCAATTTCAACGAAATTAACTTGTCATCGACATCGGAAATAAAATAAAAAAATTACTCTCAATTTATTCCACTGTCAGTCAGATGAGAATATCTCATGCTTCGATTGGATGAATTTTGGAAGACCCCCGGGGGATGCGAAAAAGAAAGAGTTTTGCATTTCACACGTAAAAAATAATTCAGTCCTATCTAAAATTGTACCGACCAGCATGTGATATGGAAACCATCTCAACGGGTAGTGAGCCACGTCGTTTGACACTTGGCTCTGGTATTGAGTCCCTCTTGGACAGTTCCCTCTTCCAGCCACTCCATTTTCCATTCTCATTGTCATCCGTATTACCAGCGAACATCTCTGGACCCCCGCTGCTGCGTCTCTTCAGTGTTTTTTTACGATTACGAGTCTTTCCATTAACACTATTCCGACCGAATAAATCACGACGCAATTCTGATATGTCAGCTGGTACTGAGCCTCGTCGAGGTGACGGCATACCAGTTGTTGGGGCGTTGTTGTTGCTGCCGTGATTGTTGTTGTTGTTGTTGTTGTTTACGGGAAAGTTCTCTCTGTCATCTGCGTGAGGAGGAAGACGAGGAGAAATTAAATTTCATCGGGGGAATTCGCATCAACTGCGAGGCCTCACACGACGGGATTTCGTGAGTGCAGTTGAGTTCAATGATTTTATCATTTCTTTGAGGATTTCGGAATTGACATGGGGACGGAGGAAAACAGAGTGCGGTTTTATTGGATTTTATGATGAAAAATTCCCAGCACCGAATTATAATTTTAATTTTAAAAAATGACCAGTCATTTGAAAACCTAATATACTGCTCAATTTTTTTTTTGAGAATTTGCTGAATTGACATGGAGACTAAGCAGAACAGCATGCGATTTTATTGGATTTTATGATGAAAAATTCCCAGCACCGAATGATATTTTTAATAAAAAAAATTCACGCCATTTGAAAACGTAATATACTGCTCAATTTTTTTTTTGAGAATTTGCTGAATTGACATGGAGACTGAGCAGAACAGCATGCGATTTTATTGGATTTTATGATCAAAAATTCCCAGCACCGAATGATATTTTTAATCAAAAAATTACACGCCATTTGAAAACGTAATATACTGCTCAATTTTTTTTTTGAGAATTTTCTTAATTGATATGGAGACTGAGCAGAACAGCATGCGATTTTATTGGATTTTATGATGAAAAATTCCCAGCACCGAATTATAATTTTAATTTTAAAAAATGACCAGTCATTTGAAAACCTAAAAAACTGCTCAATTTTTTTTTTGAGAATTTTCTTAATTGATATGGAGACTGAGACTGAGAACAGCATGCGATTTTATTGGATTTTATGATGAAAAATTCCCAGCACCGAATTATAATTTTAATTTTAAAAAATGCCAGTCATTTGAAAACCTAAAAAACTGCTCAATTTTTTTTTTGAGAATTTGCTGAATTGACATGGAGACTAAGCAGAAAAGCGTGCGTTTTTATTAGATTTAATACTGAAAAATTCCCAGCACCGAATTATAATTTTAATTTTAAAAAATGCCAGTCATTTGAAAACCTAAAAAACTGCTCAATTTTTTTTTGAGAATTTTCTTAATTGATATGGAGACTGAGCAGAACAGCATGCGATTTTATTGGATTTTATGATGAAAAATTCCCAGCACCGAATTATAATTTTAATAAAAAAAAATGACCAGTCATTTGAAAACCTAAAAAACTGCTCAATTTTTTTTTTTGAGAATTTGCTGAATTGACATGGAGACTGAGCAGAACAGCATGCGATTTTATTGGATTTTATGATCAAAAATTCCCAGCACCGAATATTTTTAATAAAAAAAATTACACGCCATTTGAAAACGTAATATACTGCTCAATTTTTTTTTTGAGAATTTTCTTAATTGATATGGAGACTGAGCAGAACAGCATGCGATTTTATTGGATTTTATGATGAAAAATTCCCAGCACCGAATTATAATTTTAATAAAAAAAAATGACCAGTCATTTGAAAACCTAAAAAACTGCTCAATTTTTTTTTTTGAGAATTTGCTGAATTGACATGGAGACTGAGCAGAACAGCATGCGATTTTATTGGATTTTATGATCAAAAATTCCCAGCACCGAATGATATTTTTAATAAAAAAAATTACACGCCATTTGAAAACGTAATATACTGCTCAATTTTTTTTTTTAGAATTTTCTTAATTGATATGGAGACTGAGCAGAACAGCGTGCGATTTTATTGGATTTTATGATTGTAAATTCCCAGTAGCGAATGATATTTTCAACAAAAAAATTATCAGTCATATGAAAACCTAATAATATACTGCTTCTGATCCCTCATAAATTCCCTTTTTTTAAAGAGAGATTTCTGAATTGACGTGGGAATAAAGCAAAGCAGCGTGCGTTTTTATTAGATTTAATACTGAAAAATTCCCAGCACCGAATTATAATTTTAATTTTAAAAAATTACCAGTCATTTGAAAACCTAAAAAACTGCTCAATTTTTTTTTTTTTAGAATTTGCTGAATTGACATGGAGACTAAGCAGAACAGCATACGATTTTATTGGATTTTATGATCAAAAATTCCCAGCACCGAATTATATTTTTAATAAAAAAAATTACCAGTCATTTGAAAACCTAATATACTGCCGAGGGCAGCCTCGTGTGGAAGACTCGATCGTCTGATCACCGGTAAATTCTCTTTTTTCAGCCCCAGTGCCGATCTAAATGACCCCCCCGATTTGAGTGCTACAATGAATTTAAAAAAATAAAATCAATACTGTCTCATCTATTACCCCCCATTTCTTAATTTAATTAAGAAATGAGAGGTTGCACTGAAAGAGATGCATACTTTGGTGGTCGGTGATGTCAGCGGGTACTGATCCCCTCCGTGCATTAGTGTCGATCCTCGTGGTCATTGTAATTGACACGTCATCGAGTCTAGACATCAGCCCCACTGGTGCTGAACCCCTTCTCCTCGCCCATCCCTACAATCGTCATTCGATGATTAGGTAATAAAAACTATTTTTCATATTAATCAATGCTGAACTAATTTCAAGTTTAATGAAGGTAAACTTTATTACCTAATAGTTTTTATTAGGTAATAAAAACTATTTTTCATATTAATCAATGATGAACTAATTAATCTAGAGCTAGGACCAACGTTCGGCCATTTTGATTTAATGAACGGCAACAAGATGGCGGTGGTATTGTTGAACAGCTGATCTGTTCGGAACTGCTATAACCTTATGCTATGTAGGATGCAGATAATTGTGCATTTTTTTAAACGTGAAAATCGTAGAAATATCTCAGACAAAAGTTTATTTTTTTGTGAAACAAATCTATGACATCGATCTGGATGTGACTTCCCACGAAAAATGCATTAAAATGCATCTTTCCTAATGAATTATTTGCACAGAATACCCTCTATTTGACACTTTTGCATACCCATATTTCTCCAAAAACTAAAGAATCACACGACTGTAATAAAAGATTCAACAAGTCATACATCTTCATTAAACTATTAAAATTGCTTAACCGCTGATGAGCTAGTCAATCCAGCGCTAAGACCAAGCTTCGGCCATTTTGATTTAATGAACGGCAACAAGATGGCGGTGGTATTGTTGAACAGCTGATCTGTTCGGAACTGCTATAACCTTATGCTATGTAGGATGCAGATAATTGTGCATTTTTTTAAACGTGAAAATCGTAGAAATATCTCAGACAAAAGTTTATTTTTTTGTGAAACAAATCTATGACATCGATATGGATGTGACTTCCCACGAAAAATGCATTAAAATGCATCTTTCCTAATGAATTATTTGCACAGAATACCCTCTATTTGACACTTTTTCACACCCATATTTCTCCAAAAACTAAAGAATCACACGAGTGTAATAAAAGATTCAACAAGTCATACATCTTCATTAAACTATTAAAATTGCTTAACCGCTGATGAACTAGTCAATCCAGCGCTAAGACCAAGCTTCGGCCATTTTGATTTAACGAAGGACAACAAGATGGCGGAGGAACAATTCAACAGCTGATCTGTTCAGAGCATCCATAGCCCTATTTTCGTCCCTGTGTCCTACGCTACGTCCGCCAGACACTCGATTATTCTCGAAAACGTGAAAACAGCGGAAAAATCTAATCCAAAACTTCCAGCAACTTCTCTCTTCAGCTATTACCATTCCCAAAAAGTTATTCCACTGTTTCCCACCAACTAACCCATTTCTGAGCGATGGCGATTTCTCCTCGATGAGAAATCTGTCATTCTTCAGATCATGAACAGCCAAATGATAAATTCTGTGACTCACCTGCGACGTGCGCCTGGTAGCCGGGCATTTGCCCTCGTCACTGCCCCTGGGATCGACATTCTCCTTCATCCTCCCATCGTCACTCATCTTCATCATCTTCCCGCCCTTGTGCCTGCCGCCCTCGGAGTCCCGTTTGCCCCCCACAAAAACACTCCCCTCGCAGGAAGTCTCGCCAATGCTCCTCCTGGGCTCACTCCCACTGTCACTACTCGAGGAGACACTCTTGAGCCTCGGCGGCGACTCCGGCGGACTCCCAATGAAGAAGACCTTGTGCGTCGGCAGATCCGAGGTGACCGGAATAGTGGTGAACCTCCTGCCCCCGCCCTCCCCGGAGACCTTGACCTCTGTAACCGGCGTGGAGAACCTCCTCATCTCACTCTCCTTCATCTTCTCCAAGGGGCCCCCCATGAGAGGCATGCATCGGTCCCCAGAGCCCTGGTCCTCGCCAGCCGACTCCTCGAGGCTCCACTGTCTCTCGGAGTCAGACCTGGACACCGGCCTGGAGTCACTTCCACTCGACTTCTGTCTCGCCCTGGACCCCCCAGTCAAATTCGCGTAGATCTGCGCTGGATCGGCCTCTTGGGCCGACGACGGCCTCTTGTGCCGATGATGCTTGCCGACTTCGTCACCCTTCATCCCCTGGACAGAGTGCCTTCGCCGTTGGTCACCAGTCATCGCCGACTCGACGTTCAACCGATTGAAGTCGGCAAAGGCTGACTCCCGTCGCCTGCTGTGATCCACCGTGTAAGATCGCGAACTGATCTTCCTCTCACGGTGGCTCGCACTCGATCTGTCCCTGGAGGGACTCGTGGAGGTCGACGACGCCGGCGACTCCGTCTCCATCAGCGTCTCCGTCAGACACTTGGACATCTCCGCGGTTGTCGACATGTACCTGGGGATGCAAAGTCACAGGCGTTTTTCACATGCGTCAAAAGTCGGAAATTTAGCGTTTTCACTCCTGATGCGAATGACAACTGACCGGTCAACTTGTCCATCGTCAGTCATTTTTCCCATTGTTATTTATGCTGACGAGGCATCATTCTTATGCTCGGTCATTATTTTTCGTTTTATTCGTGATTTTTTTTTTGATATTTGAATAAAATTATGAATAACGTCGAAATGGTCATTTTTCCGGTGTTATTTATGCTGAGAAGTCATCATTCTTATGCTCGGTCATTTTTTTTCGTTTTATTCGTGATTTTTTTTTGGATACTTGAATAAAATTATGAATAACTATTAATTAAGTAAAAATTAATCGGCCTTGCGGTCACAGGAGATGGGAGAAAAACTAGACGTTTTTGACCATAAATAAGCCAACGTTTCGACCCATTCTGCGGGTCCTCTTCAGGGCTTGTTTATTTGATAACCAAAAGCAGTCAAATAGAAAAATGTCTGTACATTTCAGACTAATGTCAGAGTGTGTAGCACCATCGTGGGTGTCATTTAGAGTCAAAAAAATGATTCTCAAAAACTATTATCGAAAAAACAGTAATAGACGTTATTTGAGCGACGAATAACAATAAATATGTCAAGAACTCTTGTGAGGGTTACTAAACCCGAGTCAACAAGGACTCAAGTCCCCCGTAAGATCGTATGACTCTGAGTTACAAACAAGTTCTATTAGTTATTTATTATTCTTTAGTAATTGGCCTCTGCGGTCATTAGCCCATTCAAATTGACGAAATTATCATTTGGACATTAATAATTTCGCCAATTCGAATCGGCTAATGACCGCAGAGGCCAATTACTGAAGAATAATTTTTAAAATTCGGTCGAAACCCTCTCTACAACATTATTTATTTATAAGAAAGAAATTTTTGAAACAATATCAATATTTTGCGAAATTTAATTTAGATAATCCTGACTATGATTTTTTTCAAATTTTTCTCATGCAATTTAGTTAGAAAATTCAAAAACGATAACATGATGAACGAAATCGACTGGCTCTATACAGAGGTAAAATGACCGTTCAAAATTATTTTTGTCATTGTTATGACCCGAAATTCCGTCTCTCGTTTTCTCCCCAAAACTGTTCAATGATGGCCATTTCGCTCAGTGCGGTGAAATTTTCATGAGTTAATAACCATCAGTTAATAACCCCCCAACACGTACCTGATCCTGACGTAAGGCTGCAGAGGCGGGAAGGTCTGCTGTCTGGTCAGCTGTTTGCTCTGCGCGGACTTCTGCGCTTCGGGCTGGAGAATAGTGCAGAGTCTCGAGGCCTCGATGTTGCTCGTGATGCTGGCGATGCTCGTCTCCGGGAGTAGGTTCTCCGCGGAGACTGGCCGCTCACCTGTGCTGTTGTTGGTGGTGATCTCCAGGAGAGACGACTTCGAGGACATCAGGGAGAACGAGCTCAAGGGATGAAGACTCTGGTCGTCCAGCTTGACAAGGGGTAGCTTGGAGCTGTCGTGGGCGCAGGGAACGCTGTCCCGTCGAATGACCCTGGGGGGTGGGGCCAGAGTGTTCGTGTGCATCGGTACCGAGTGACGCCTGGCCATTCTCGTCACTGCATTCTCCGCTGGCAGCTCGATATTGAGAACTTCAACGCTTCCAGTGTCTTCATGCGGAATCTCCTCCTCGGAGCTGGGGGTGCTGTGGACCTCCTCCAGGTCCGACATCTCCGTCTTCGTCTCCTCCGCCGTCTCCTGGGCGATCAGAGCCTCCCAACGCTTCCTGTTCGCCCGCAGGTGGCTCATCAGCGTTATGCTCAAACCGTCACCCAGAAAGCGATTCCACTCTTCGTACAGCGGTGTCACTACGAACTCGAAGAAGCCTACCTGTATCTTAGGGATACTGATTGAGGAACGATCACAGAGGGGAGTCACCGGCAGGTTCAACTGGCGCTCGTAGTCACCCTGTCTGAAGAACTCTTCGCACACTTTGTACGCCCACTTGCGGGAGATGTCCCAGGGGCGGCAGGGGTTCGATATGTCCGCGCATTTCAGGGATATCTGGAGGATGAAGTGGCGGTCCTCTGAGCGCTCCATGTCGAGGGTGTTTGTGTCGAGGTAAGTCTGGGGAAATTGACGATCTTTGAACGATCTGGGAAATGGCGGGGGCCATATCTCGGTTTTTGTGGCATCTCTTTTGGTAAACTCGGATTTTTTGGATTCTTGGGGCATTAAGGATGCTTGACAAATTTGTTAATGACAGATTTGTTGACAAATTTGATGATTGAAAATGGTTAAATCTATAGGGTGGTCTGTGCCAAACTGTAAAAGACACTTGGATAAGTTAATTCGTTCAAATTCATTCAAATTAAAATGCGAATTTAATTTATGAAGCGAAAATTTACGTTATAAAAGCATTTTACAATGATTTTATTATTTAATCTTCTGCTCCATATCGAGGGTGTTTGTGTCGAGGTAAGTCTGGGGAAATTGACGATCTTTGAACGATCTGAGAAATGGCCGGGGCCATATCTCGGTTTTTGTGGCATCTCTTTTGGTAAACTCGGATTTTTTGGATTCTTGGGGCATTAAGGATGCTTGACAAATTTGTTAATGACAGATTTGTTGACAAATTTGATGATTGAAAATGGTTAAATCTATAGGGTGGTCTGTGCCAAACTGTAAAAGACACTTGGATAAGTTAATTCGTTCAAATTCATTCAAATTAAAATGTGAATTTAATTTATGAAGCGAAAATTTACGTTTTAAATGCATTTTACAATGATTTTATTATTCAAACTTCTGAAGGATTAAGTGGCGGTCTTTTGAGCGCTCTATGTCGAGGGTGTTTGTGTCGAGGTAAATTTGGGGAAATTGACGATCTTTGAACGATTTGGGAAATGGCCGGGGCCATATCTCGGTTTTTGTGGCATCTCTTTTGGTAAACTCGGATTTTTTGGATTCTTGGGGCATTAAGGATGCTTGACAAATTTGTTAATGACAGATTTGCTGACAAATTTGATGATTGAAAATGGTTAAATCTATAGGGTGGTCTGTGCCAAACTGTAAAAGACACTTGGATAAGTTAATTCGTTCAAATTCATTCAAATTAAAATGCGAATTTAATTTATGAAGCGAAAATTTACGTTATAAAAGCATTTTACAATGATTTTATTATTTAAACTTCTGAATTTGAATATCAATATGATATTCAAATGTCCAGACTTTTTAAAAAAAAGATAATGATGAGCAAATGTCATTTAAATGACACTGAATATTCATAATTTTTTTACAATTTTTTGTCACGCAATTTAGTTGACAAATTTGATGATTGAAAATGGTTAAATCTATAGGGTGGTCTGTGCCAAACTGTAAAAGACACTTGGATAAGTTAATTCGTTCAAATTCATTCAAATTAAAATGCGAATTTAATTTATGAAGCGAAAATTTACGTTTTAAATGGATTTTACAATGATTTTATTATTTAAACTTCTGAAGGATTAAGTGGCGGTCTTTTGAGCGCTCCATGTCGAGGGTGTTTGTGTCGAGGTAAGTCTGGGGAAATTGACGATCTTTGAACGATCTGGGAAATGGCCGGGGCCATATCTCGGTTTTTGTGGCATCTCTTTTGGTAAACTCGGATTTTTTGGATTCTTGGGGCATTAAGGATGCTTGACAAATTTGTTAATGACAGATTTGTTGACAAATTTGATGATTGAAAATGGTTAAATCTATAGGGTGGTCTGTGCCAAACTGTAAAAGACACTTGGATAAGTTAATTCGTTCAAATTCATTCAAATTAAAATGCGAATTTAATTTATGAAGCGAAAATTTACGTTATAAAAGCATTTTACAATGATTTTATTATTTAAACTTCTGAATTTGAATATCAATATGATATTCAAATGTCCAGACTTTTTAAAAAAAAGATAATGATGAGCAAATGTCATTTAAATGACACTGAATATTCATAATTTTTTTACAATTTTTTGTCACGCAATTTAGTTGACAAATTTGATGATTGAAAATGGTTAAATCTATAGGGTGGTCTGTGCCAAACTGTAAAAGACACTTGGATAAGTTAATTCGTTCAAATTCATTCAAATTAAAATGCGAATTTAATTTATGAAGCGAAAATTTACGTTATAAAAGCATTTTACAATGATTTTATTATCTAAACTTCTGAATTTGAATATCAATATTGGACAGTTGGAGAATTTTTTAAAATCTGGAAAAAAATTAGATAGTTGACTTTCGGAGAAAGATTGATAAAATAATTAAAAAACTGCAATTTTTGAAAATTGCGAGCATTTTCAGTAAATAATTCATAAACAATTACCTGTCCACCATGGACAATCATTTCTTCAGAATCGTAACAAATTCATTCAGTTTAAACAACGTCAATTATTCATTTACAAAAAACGAATATTAAAAAAAATAATAATTCTATGCCGAACGTAATTTGAATGACGCTGAAGATTGGATATCCTTAATTGCAAGCCCAGAGGTCATTTTACAAGTGAAATAATAGGAGAGGTCGAACTATAAGAACTGAGCGGTTGTGACAATGCCCCCCCCCCCCCCCC